GATAACATCCCAAAATATGTACCACTATCAGTGAGAAAAGTGAAACGAAAAAATAACGATATACGAAAAGATAGTCATAAGAAATATATACATCTTAGAGAAATGTGTAAGGAACTAAAGATAGATACAATGAAGTGTTAAGGGAATATACAGGGAAATATAAGTGAGACAAAGAGCGAAGTGAAAAAACGTGTAGGAAAAGACAGAGTAATACTGGGAGAGAGAATTTTGTAGGAAAGAATAAAGCGATGTGAAAACTGAAAACGAAACAAGTAAGAAAAGATAGAGTGATACGATAAACTGAGAGAAAAACGTGTAAAATTGTATGGAGAACTAAGATAGGCACATGTAGAGAAAGATGGGAAACAGTGGAGAACTGAGAGAGAAACGTGTAGGGTAAAAATGCACGAGAATAATATTAGATGGACGACTGAGAAAGAAAGAAGAAAGAAAACTAAAAGCGAAAATGTTATGGAGGCAGAAATCAGTTAAGATGAAAAAGACAGATAGAACGAGAAAAAAGGCGTTAAGAGAAAGAATACGTTCCTCGACCATCACTGTAATTTGTTTAATAACCTCATTGTTCCCAACCCTCGTATTATCCTACTGCAGAGAAGAACAAAAACCGTATTTGGTAATCTAATACCCAAACGTAATGCACTGAAGAACTTTACCAACTGTTATAAAAAAATTAATTTAACGCAACCGAATCTCATCATTGTTTCTCCTATTATAACTTCATGAAAGACCAAGGAAAAAATCAAATAAAAAACTAAAGCGTACAGCTGATCTTTTGTCATGACAGATGACAGGAATAACCGAGATAACAAATGGAGCATTTACGGATGTAATGATGTAATACTAAGCATTTCTTTTCCTAAAGTAAGTGAAAGATCCAGAATAATGAATGCGTGGCGTAAGAGTTTAGCAAGGTCATAGCATGACACAATAATCAGTAATAACAAATTACGTGACACCGGGATCTGACATTGCGATATAAACATGGGCAGTACCTATCGTGGTATAATCATGGCATGAAAACCAGCATAGTATAGCCGCTACATGACGATCTAACACAGTGACTGTTATAACATGAAAACCAGCCTACCTACCGCCATGACATGTCGATCCAGTATAGTGACGGTTATGGCATGAGAAACCAAAGTTGTATAGTACAGTCATGGCAAGATGATCCAGCATAGTGCTTGTTATAACAAGAAGATACAAGATAATAACATGAAGACCAACAAGAATGATGGTCATGATGAAAATCCACAACAGTAATGACTACAACATGACTATTCATCATATTAGCGATTAGTGCCTGATAATTCAAAATAGTGACAATTAAAATATAAAGATTTAAATAACAAAGCATGGCATGAGGGTGCAGTCATGGCATGAGAGACAAAAACAGTAACAGCTATGACATAGAGATCCAATATAGTGGCGGTCATGACCTGAGAAACCAACATAATGTCAGCCATGACATGTTCATCCAGCATAATGACGGTCATGCAATGAGGAACTAGCATAATAACAGCTATAACATAAAGATCCAGCATAGTGACGGCCACGACATTGAGATCCAGAAAAATAACAGCTGTAGCATGAGATTCTGGCAAGGAGAAGTCGTGGAATAGTCATCCAGCACAAGAACGAGCACAACATGGAAATTCGAGAAGAACTAGAAATTTTCCAAAAATAACTGAAATTGAAATTTTCAATCTGAAGGGCATCTCGTGTAACGTATGATCTGAAGGGCATCTCGTGTAACGCATGATCCAGAGCCTAGACGACCAAGTCAGAAATCCCCAAGGTACAGGTACAGTCTTCACCAATTTTAAACTAGAGGGCAGCCAGTCTAATCCTTTGAGCTGAATAATGGATTTTTATCACTGTTATAGGTGAAATACTTTTATACATCACGCTCGAACTTAGGACCCTGCAATACTCGGCCAGGCACACTAACCGCTAGGCCACCGCCGGCCCATTTTGCCAAAAAAAAAGTTAAAAGACTTCGTACAAAATTAGAAACAGGCTTGTGCCCTAATTGTTAATTGTGCGAAGTACTTATTCGTTTAACATTACCTATAATAGGTTATTCTTTGTAATTGTTTATGACAATTATCGAGTGAAAACTAACTAATCATCACGTAAAACCACTTTTATTGGTTTGTCGTTTAGCATAAAGTGAGATTGTTGCTAAATGTATTTAGAAATATTTTATATTTTTTTTAAGAATTAGCGCAAAATAACCATGAGAAGCTTTAAGATTTCGTCAGTACCAGCTTTATGGAACAAGTAACTCAATGATTACGACGATGCATGGTTGAATTAGTGAATTTGATATATATTTAAAATATATAAATTAGCCCTCTGAACGTTGCACTTGTTGTTTATTTAATGTTTTATAAACAATATAAATGCGAGTGTCACAGTTTTATAATCCGTGTACTTCTTTGATAAAAACAAAAGTATAAAATAAGAACTTAGGGCAGCATACCTTCAATAATTTATTTGATACTATCTTATGAAACTATTTATATCACACGAAAGTGTTATCTCTCTGCTTCCTTACATACTCAGGCAATTCTTGCAGTAAAATATATTAGTAAGATAGAAGGCAAGCACAACAGATTCCATAATTGTTATAGTCACGTAGTAAATTAACAAACAGCGACTTGTTAAATTCGATTGTATTAGCACGACGTGCTTCTCTTCGCAAGTATCGACACCATCAAGGTGTCAGGAAACATATATACTTTACATGCCATCGTGCTTACGAATCATTCTTTGTTAATTAGCCATTGTATTAGTATAATGTCAAGTCTGTTGCAGTGCTTTATTTCACGTGTTTTTGTCATTATA